ATTCACTTTTTTTAAAGACCCGTTATACATTTTGAGAATAAAATATTGAAGACGAAGTCCAATGCGATCTGTAGAAGGTTTCCCTCTATAAATTAAAAAAAAAAATAATAATTAGATTTGGTTGATTCTACTGAACAGTATCACTATTTCTGTAGAGTGTATTTTACACCTGGCGCCGGTTAAAAGTTAAAGTTAAAATTAAAATTATAAATAACCCTTAATTAAGTTTTAAATCCTTCTTATTTTCTGTTATATCCCAGAAAATAATTATTAATAGTATTTTATGATGTTAGGTCATTTTTTGATTTTCCAATTGGCTTTTCGTAAAACTTTGAAAAAAATGTTTAGGAAAAACAGATAAATATTTATGGTACCTAAACTTATGTATAATTGAAAGGTGGCTTTTACGGGTATGTGAAACGTACGATTAAGTGTGGTTGGATAAAATAGAGAGAAGCGTTAGGTGTCTCATGCAATAAGGGGATTTCAATGAGACTTACAGGTAAGTTCTACAAGAATGTGATGAGACCAGAAATATTATAAGGTTCGTAATTTTGGGCGATAGATAGAAAAATAGAATAGAAAATGAGTATAGTAGAGATACATGCTTAGGTGGAAGGTGGATGAGTGGCGTGATGCGAGAAGATAGGATAAGGAATGTGTATAAGAGGTAATTTAGATGTACGAGTGGACAAAATGAGAGAAAATAAACTGAGATGGTTTAGGCATATTATGAAGATAGAAGAATCAGAAGCAAGTTCACAAATTTACAAGGTTAGATACGATTGAGAATGATATGAAGAGGGCTGGTGTATGTGAAGACCGATATGAGGAATCAGATCAAGTGAAGTTAAGGACGAAGATGGCCGATCCAAAATAGTTGGGATGAAGGCAAAGAAAAAAAAAAAAATGATTTTACATAAACTTATATCAACATTTTTTTGATTTATTGCCTTACTTTACCGAGTGTATAGTTTTATTTGAGTTTATATTTTTTTTCATTGCGATACCTGAAATAAAAATTTTTTTTAATAATAAATATTTGATGAAAATATTTTAATACTATGTCATATCAAAAAAATAATGAAATTAAATCGGTAGAAATCGTCAAGATTATATTATTTTCACCGAATTTATTATAGTTATTTGCGGATTATTCATATTTAAATTGACGGGAAAATTATATTTTTAATCGAAAAATATCCTATATAAAATTACAAAATACAAATCATATTTGAACTTCAAAAATTATACATATACATATATATCGTCAAAATAAAAAAGAACGGACATACTTCGCACGTGGGTGCAGCCACTGTTGTAGGTGCTAAGTTGAGGAGGTACCTAAACCGTTTCTAATGAAAAAATGATTCTGAGAAGAGATAATAATAAGAGTTCAGTTGATAATGTTACTTTTTTAACAATACAATATATGGTATTATGTCATAGTATGGTAAAACGATTAAAACAATGTGCTTTTTCATAATAAAAATTAATAATAACAAAAAATTAATAAAAACGGTTGCCAATCATAACCTTATTTTTAATTTTTCAATCTTTTGTAACTTAGAGACCGAAGATTTCTTTATTATCTCGAATATTAATGAGAATTTCAAAAAATGACCTCTTTAAAGTACCACTTAGAGAAAATTTCCTTTCAGAAAAGGTGCTATACTTGGGACTCGGAGTATGCTTTCTGGTAGAAAAAGTGTTCACATATACAAAAAAGGAAAAAAAAAAACATCACTGTAAAACCAATATATTCCTCATTTTACTCAGAATCTATAAATTTAAATATAAAATACAATTTGATTTGAAAACCAACGAAGCTCCACTCAGAATAAAAAGTCTTTACGTGAAATTCAAAAACGTGTATTAAAAATTATAATTTTTTATCTTTATAATAGTGTAGTATACAATTTATAGTAGTACCTATAACACAACACTATTAAATTATATTTTCGCATCTTAAAAAATGATTTTCAGGACATGTGATATACGAGTATATGTAATTTATTGAAGAAAACAAATCAAAATCGCTATAGTTTTATGCGTATCGTATTTTTGAAATAATACCATTAATACGTGACGTTTCATATCGTTTTTAACCTTAAAAATGTATTCAAGATATGATAATATCATTATATATAATAAATGGAGAAGTAATGTTACTATATTATGTAGAGAATAGAATAAGAAAAGAGCTCGTAAAGACAGTGCCGGACAGAGTCGAAAAGGTGCACTCTTAAATTTGGAAAATGTAGGCAGAAAAATCTTTAGAAGTAAAAACGTGAACCTACATTCCCTACATTTTTATTTCTATTTTATTTTAGATTTCCAGTGTAGCTAGGAATTATGTAATTGGTTTAACTGCGGTTTTTCTTTTTTTTTTGTCAGTGAACAACGCTTTTCTTCCAGAATTTTTTATCTAAACATCAAGGGTAGTTTCTCGAAGAAAATTGTATGTAGTTAATGATTCTTTGGAATGGTCATTTTACTTATTACATACTTTATAGTTATAGTTTTCTATGTAACAGAAAAAAGTTATGTTCATATTCAAGCAATAACGGTTTCTATTATTTTGTTGTAACTCGGGGAAAAATAATCGCAGAGAATAAGACAAAAAGACTAGCGAGAACATTAATGTAGATTGATGAGCTGATGCGAAGAGATAAGTCATAAGTCACTACGAATTGGAATTATAATATGTTCGTTTAATTTTGTAGCCGCAGCAAAACCAGTAACCAACGAAGGCCAATATTTTCACAATTCTCTATAGAAAGAGATGGAGCAATACAATGCCAATCCTGATTTTCACCGAATATTTGTATTTTTCTTCAATTTTTGATACCGATATGAAAAACTACTTAGGTAAGCCTATTATAATTATACACTTTTAACGGTTTGACGGTTTGAATAACGACTTTTATTTATGTATACATATATATAGGTACTATCAAACCACCATTACATTCATATACGGATTTTTCAACGAGAACTTTTGGTAAAATTACCAGTTCAGTAAATGGACTAAAGGATTTCTGTCTATGCGATTGCACTATATTACAACCCTCCCCTATCTCTTCTCCATATCTAGATTACGTTAATAGCTGCAGAAATGGGTTACTGGTTTGTGATGGACCAATGTGTCATATAATTATAATTATGACTAGAATAGCGCTAACTGTGCGCATATTATACAAATTGGTCGATCGGACGTGCATTCGTATTTTAGTTTTATTCGTTTTGCGGAATATTTCATTCGGGAGACAATACGTCGAAAATTGTGTATCATAATATTATACGTTCTAATAAACCGCGGTCATAAAATTATAGCGAATTACACGCGAAACGTTTTGCGGTATTCTGCGATTGTTAAAATAAATAAATAAATAAAAACTAATAATAAAATTCTCAAATTTATTACATAGAGTAGTTTAATATTTATATCTGGTCTTAACGATAAATCATTGCTAACAAAAAAATATTTTGAGCAGATTTGTCTGATTGACTAAAAAAGATACAAGAAAAAAAAAATGATTTCCTTAATCCACCAACTAGATCAAAAATGCTTCCAGAAAGTGCATGTCTAATTTTTGATTGAAACAAGATTTCGGATAGAAAAGTTTACAGACAAAAAAAAAAAAAAAATAGTAAAACCAACTATTCATATTTCAATCTTCTGGGAATCAAAAACTTTATTAGTGAGTAAATTTTCCCGTTTTTTTAGTTTTTTTCCCAGTCTTCTTCAAAAACTAAAAAAAATACAAGGAAAATCCACAAAATTATATTTCTTCTATGCACCAATTCAACAAAACCACCTCCACAGTTGTTCATAGAGGGAGAAATAAAATAAAAACACACATCATAGCATCATATACATATTTATAAATTTCCTTAGAATCTAAAAAATCCTCTATACGTTCCATGGTGATACTGCAGAATATCCATTTATAATTAACAATTGATAGTTTTGATAAAAATACAGGAATCATTATTATTATTATGTTTTCTATTTATTGTCTGTAATACCCGGCTGAATCATGTCTTTGAGCGAAAGTCGGGTAAATATTGTTACGTTGGATATAATATATCGGCGGGGCATACGTGTCGGTGAAGTAACCGTTCAAATGAATATTATAAACAAATATTAATAATTAAAAATTGTATTATTATGTTTCATTATGTAATGGATTACCGAGGGAAAAGTTCACCACAGAGAAAAACTTTATTCATTATAATGCAAATTTTCAGTTCCAAATTAGATTGTATTAGATTGATTATATTGGATTGTTTCGACTAGTGTTCGATGCGACAATGACAAAAATACCAAAAGTATACATATATTATATAAAAATATAAAAGTATATTAAATATAGCTCTGTTCAGACGAATCTAATGAAGGGACGTGTACTTACGTCTGATCCGTCGAAAAGTCAATTTTTACTATTATAAAAATCAATTATTTAATGATAAACTCAGTGCAAGTACCTAATATTAATAAATCAAAAATTAATAATAATAATAATAATAATAATAATATATAGTTTATTGTCGTACAAAAGAGTAACAAATGTAATAATTAATTGATGAATTTACAAATATGGAACTCCTTCAAAAATCAAGCCTGTGACTGGAGGTGTGAGTTATTGTATTGTTAACTTGGGTATTCTAAATATTATTGAATTTCAATTTTTGCTGATACAATTTATTTGGCTTCTCAAAAATGCTTCACATTATTATGATATAATATTAATATTAATATAATTGCCCGGCCAAAACTTAGAATAATCAAAAAAAAAATTCGATGGTGCTATACGCATACGTCAGCAAATCAGATAAGACTATACTGTATATTTAAATAGAATTATATTTAATTATATTATTAATGTAATCATCACGTGCATTATGCACATTAAACAAATATAATTTGATAATAATTATTACAACGTAATATTGTATAACATAAACAACTATATTATCCAATAGAAAAAATAATCGGTTTGTCTAATTTTTAATTTGTTATTATTATTATTATTATTAATTTTTGATTATAATACAACCAGTTTCTATAAATATTTTTAACTAAATTACAATCAAAAAACATAATTGAAAAAAATAAAAGCATTATTTTCGTAAATCTTCTCGGATTTTTCTATTTATTGGGAAAACTCCTAGAAAAATCAAGAAATAACCTCCTAAAAAGGACCACCCCAAGAAAATCCAGAAAAGGTACTTTATTTAATATTTCGGAATTTCTGGTACTAGAATTTTTGTATATAGTAGAAAAAAAAATAAACATCTGTGTAAATCAATAAATTCTTCGCTACACTCGGAATCTAAAAAAAAAAAAAGTTTAGTTACAGAAAAACTAATTAGTATGAGTACCTTTGATGAATTATTACTTTGCTTCTAAAAAAACGATTCATATCAATGTAAAATAGATGGCGTGTATATAATTTCGGGAGTAATAATTATTTTTTAATAATATTATGCTTCAAGTAGTGTATTTAGAAAATAAAGACTATCCGCACTAAAAAAAAAAAAAAAACCCGAAACAATTCGTATAGCGTTCTTGCTTGGAATTCAAAATTATTACAATCCGAATAATTCTTGCGTATAAAGTGAATGAATAAAGTTACCAGTGTGTGCAATGTGTGCACATCATAATAATTATAATATCGTGCGACTCGTTTAAAAAAAAATAATAGCCTCCCGTTAAAAACGGGCGGTGAAAATTAACTGCCGTCGGTCGAAATATTTTTTCGGCACCGACCATCTTCCTCCCCCCTCACAAAAAATAGCGGTAATGGGCGAAAAGAATTTTGTTTATATTTTTTATTTCGGCTGCAGTAATAAAACCTTTCAATAACATATGTAGGCATAAACCTATTTACTCGGTGTACTCGTGAAACGTTAAAATGTATAGTGATTATTGCTACGATATATTTACAAGATGTGATAATACAATAATCGTAACAATAATATTCTAATACCGACGACGATAAAAACGAAAATTCGTTGTTTTTTTTTCTTTTTAATAACTGCGGTAATAGCCGGTAATAACCGGTACTTCGAACCGGAACGCGTATTAGTAATATTTTGTGCTTTTCGAAAAAAAAAAAAAACCGATCATTATATCCTACCACCGTCACGGTTTTTAAACTTTTTCCGGTTTTTTTTCTCTTATTTTTTGTCCGCGTTTAATTACTTTTATATATATATATATATTTTTATAATATATTATAAAGTCCTTGACTTGACCTCGTGTGCGGTTAACGTTTTGATGATGTTGTGTCATCGCCGTCGCCACTGCAGAAATGGATCGGAATCCCTCATTTGTAAACATGGTGGTTGTTATAATCATGTTCAACCCATTCTATGGTTAAATTATGCAAACATTTTTAAAGTTCTAAAGGCAATGAAAGACGATATATTTGAAGGATAAATTCACAACATTTAAGGACTAATAAGGGGTATAATATCGATTTCGATTTTTCAACGAGAACCTACATGTTTTAATGCAAACAATGAATCGGGTGATTTTTCTAAACATTTTGACGTATTGGGTTTGGAACTTGAACGAAATATTTCTAAGTTATTTTGCTCCATGTACTAAAGATAGGGTTTTATGGTGATTGGATATCGACTGTATCATATAAGCCATATATAGATAATTTATTGTCATGAATCGTGCAGAATTATCAAAAACCCAGTTTTATTATTAACACGTATGTAGGGTAGACTTATCACAAAAATAAAATAAAATTACGGGATACTTAAAAACACAAATTAAACGTGATGTATAATAAGTAAGTATATATTTACTTATTATTACTTATTATTTAGTATACTATTATAATAACTTAGTAAGTATATTAAGTAAACCTAACTATAGACGACCGATACACGACGCATAAAAAACGGTCGGTATCCAATTTCTGTATAACGCTATAGTAATATCTTTAGTATTTAAATTAGAATAACTCAATGACTTTTCGTTTAGATTTCTATTTCAATATGTCAAAATTGCCATAAAAATTATCTTATTGATAATTTGCATTATAATATGCAGGTTCACATTTGATAAACCAAATTTGATGTCTCCACAAGATATTCCTTATTAAAAGTTATGAAAAATCTCTGTATTCGAAAATATATTTCATTACAATTGAAAAATCTAAAACTTTGAATTTATACACAATTTAAACATACAATTATTACGCTTAAAATCATAACACTGTATAGATTTCAGTATTTGTATAGTATCAGTAACTTGTATAGGTAATATTATTTTTATCGGTTTTCCAAATAGAAATAAGAAAAATGAAAACGAGAGACAACGACGATATTATAATTATCAGTTTTACTGTGTTTCTGTTTTTTTATTTGAAAATAATATAATTATAATAGTTATAATAATAGTGTATAAATTATAACGTGTTAGGTATATAAGATTATAATAGTAATTTATAATAATTTATTATTTATTTATTTTTTTAATTGTACTAGATAGTTTATTTAAAAAAAAAATATATATAATCGAAAAATCATTTGTGATGGGACGAATACACTTTAATATGAGATAAGTTCCTTTTTTTTTTTTTTTTATTGTAAACTTCCAAAAAGTATTAAATACGTGACGTACAAATAACAATAATAATAATAATAATAATAATTTATAATGCCTACAAATAATACTATCAATAATGATAGCTAAACTAGAAGCTAGATTTGTATTTCAACTAAACGACCGATAAACATGATGTCATTCAGAAAGAATTATAAATATTTTTTTTTTATTTTGCAGCAGATGTTTATTTCGACGATGATTTTTGCATCCTGTACCGGTTTCGTGTCTTTTCGCATTTCTTATCTAAAATAACACATCGATACACATTTAATTTTATATTTTATAATCTATAAAATATTATCAATTTATATTTTACACTCACTTGTCTTACGCTTGTCATCGGGACAGTTCTGTAACAGAAGGAAGAACAACATTTTATTTACAAAATAATTTAATATACGTTTGAATGTTGTTTCTATGTCTAAACCTACTATAACCTAAACGTTTAAAGTTAAACGATAATCGTAAGTATTTTTATTAAAATCGTCCCTTCCATTTTTGTTTACATTTTTTGTTGTTCTATGCTGAATTAGATACATATAATATAGACACGTGGGGTTGTAGATATTATCTTTCTTCTTCTTCTTCTTGCTCAGCATGGTTGGGGACCATTATTGCTGCTATCAAGTAGCCTATATTTCTCTCTCTGTTGTATAGCACGTTAAAAGTCGCGTTCCTCCTGTGTCTTCTATATTACGAGCTATATTGCTATAGAGCTATATAGTTGGCAATCTGCTTTTCTAATGTGTCCGAACTATTCTAGACGTTTTCTTTCTATAAAGAATGATAGGTTATATATTTGGCTTGTTATATAACACCATAATATGCAGGACTTGATATTTACTTCTCTCGTCGGTCTACTTTTGTATTACTGTACTGAGAATATAATTTTCTTTCGAAAGTAATACTATTACTCTATATTAGGTATCCATTAATTAGTCAATGACCAAAGTTTCACTTGGGTGTATTGGTTGTTATAGTCGCAAATAGCACAACTATGTTTTTGGAGGGCTTAATCCTCCATAATATCAATTATGCATACCCAGTATTTACTGAATTGAGTTTCCGGGAAGAAGCTAAGACCCTAGTTTTTCTTATTTGTGCCTATGTTAGTCATAAATAACAATAGTACTGCTATGGCCGTATCCGAGTAGAGACATTATTTAATTTAAAGACGAATTGCGCGGCAGTCATTTTAATGTCAAGAGTTTCATAACATTGTATAGTGACATTGGTTACCGGATGCTATTCGTTTATTGATCTCCTCATGTATGTCGTTTCTGCTCTTTATGATAACGTTTAAGTAGATATTATGTATTTTTTAATAATTGTTTCAAAATCTATATTCAAGAAGGTAAAATCGTTCAAAACAAAAACCGCATCTCTTGCATGCAAGAAACAATGAGTATAATATTTATAAATAAACGTCAATGGATAACTCGTGCATATACTTGGATGTGTTCGGTTTACTCAACGAGTTAATAAGATAATAGGTACGTAAAATTAATTATAAAACGAAAAATGACGGGCTCAATACTAACCGATTCGTATTCCAACCATAAACAGTGTTGGAATTGTACGTAAACCGGATTGCACTTGTATTCGGTTTCTTCGGTTGGCCACGGTACTGGAAAAAAAAACAAACAAATTAAACTACGTCAAAATAATTACTACACGATATAATTATATTTTTGAAGACGGTAGTAAATAAGAAAAAAATAATTGAATTTCACGAGAGATTTCACGATTGCATTACATTTAAATCGATACATATACGAATAAAACTATAATGGTGACTATACAGGATTTTATAAACTAAACGGACATAGGTAAATTTATAAAAAAAATGTGTTGCTCTGTTAATTTTTTTACGCGTATTTACGACTAAAGCAAAATATACACATTGAGCATTGATTAGTCGTATACTGCAGATATTTATTATGTAGCGAATACAAATCTGATCATACAGGTTTGCGTTGGATATTATGACGTTCGATTATTATTTTTGTGTTTTACATCTTGTGTACCTAAATATTATTATTGAGTCTTTCATAAATTCAGAGTTCCGATATTTATCAACAGTTTTAACGATATTTAATTTCAAGCAAATATATACCTATACATTGTTTGCTCATATCATGGTTATAGTTTTTTTACGAATTCGACGTCAACATGACGATAACATTCGGATAAGTAGTATAAGCTAGTTAAAGACGGTAAGTCTGTAGTATAGGGTATAAAAATGACGGTTATATTATTAATTTAAGCTGTGAGAAGATTATGTTTAGTATATTTGTATACATTATAATGTGTACAATGTATATTGTGTATAGAAACCTATATAGGTAGTCATTTGGAAATTGTAAACGTTTACTAACGATGCTAGTTTTTAAAAAAAAATGCTGCTTATTTGGCGGTCTAATGTGCAGCGTTATAAGTAAAAGCAGGTGTGATAATATGTTTGCGAGCACTGCTAATCTTAAACCACAATTGTGAACGTAGTTTTACACAAAAGTTACCGTCACTCGTATAAAACTATAATAACAATAATTGAGCTTTAGTGCACTTACTGTATGTCTCTTCGAGACATTTCGCCAAAGCCTTTTCTCCCACTTGCTTTTGCCATTGCTCTTTGAAGATAGTGTTCATCGAGTAATCGGTGATGAAAGTTTTGTTCAGTGAACCGTCTTCGGTGAGCTACAAATAAATGCATTTTAAATTAAATCGTATTTTATTTTTTTATTTATGTATGTAACATTATTAAAAGTATAACAGTACCAATTTGTTTTTCTTGCCGATGCATTCGTGAAGGCACTACAATGACCATTCAAATATAATAAAAAATTTATTAATTTTATGAACAAAATTGTAATTTTAATAAAAAAATAAAAATTAATCACTCACGAATTGCTTCTTCTTGGTGATTTTCACTGCTTCGGTAGAAAACAAGTCTTGTTTCGGCGTAACACCTTTAAAATATATGAATAAAAATACAATTTAACGTTGTACCTAATATTGTTGTTGTATTGTTTTTTTTTTTTTTTTATTAAAAACATTAGTTTCTTTAAGTTAAATTATAATTTATTGCTAAAACGTCATTTTCAGCATTATTATAACAATGAAAAGTATACTGCATTCAAATTACAAATTGTTGTCCCCTTAATGTACAAAAATATTTCCATAATATTATAATACTGCCCTCCTATACACAGATAAGGCAAACTTATAAAATTACGAAACTCCATCAAGACACAAACCGACAACTGGAGTGACACTGTAAAAGTCAAATAAGCAATACGATTTGAGTTCTATGAAAATTAATATTTGACTTTTTACCTAAATAAAATAAATAAATCATATTTATATCGACAAATGAAAGGATACTTGCATTATAGAATATTATAATATATTATTATTATGCTTGATCATATTTTACGTTAAATCAAACAAAAATACCAAAATCTCAAGAGAATGGCCCGGGGTGGATCGCCGTGACCCAATTGACCTTGTTCTTCCCGGCTACGCCTTTGATAGTTCAGATACGTAAGATTATATTTTATGGTATAAACAGCACGGTTAATGCTGTACAGTTGTACACGCGTAGATATTATTGTACGTTAAATACTAATATCCGTGAGACTGAAATTCAAACACTTTTGAACACGATCGTTCAAAGTAAAATATAATATTAATTCGTACGTCACAAACATAGGTACCTACCTACCTACTCAAGTACCTACCGTACAAAACGCGGAAATAATAATATACGCACGCCCGATTCCACGATAATATCAATTTGCATACGAAATGCACTAAAAATTAATTTCGGAGTAAATTTATATCGACTTTACCTACTCTGGCTGGCGGTTATAATAATAATATTATTATCGTTGCATGCGTGCATATTCGGTTTCAGCAACAAGACGTCGTGTATATATTATTTTATAAGTACTTAGGTGTACCGAAAACACAAACTCGAAATTAATCTGGACGTATACGCAAGTACCTATATATTATTGTTGGTGTAAGTTATTGTCGACACCTATTACATTTTGTTTATTTCAAACGTCTTCCGTGTCGTCCGATATATTTATAGTAAAACTAACCCTAGTTTAACAGGGTATCCTACGATTATTGCTATATTGTATTGGAAAATATTAACAATTTTGTTTTTTTTTTTTTTTAATTCAAGAAATAAATAGCTCTACAATATTACACTAACCTCATTTTTTTTCACCTTATTTTTGGGGATGAAGCGACTACCTAAATTTGGTTTTAAATTATCAACCTATATTTAAAGATTCATAAATAGATGGGCATGGACTATTAGTTTAAATACTTTTTGGCGTTGATATTATCAATTACCTTCAAACTGTTGATGGGTAGGAAGTGAATAGTGAAGCATAATTAGTGGAGTAGCATAGCACGTGGCGTTTGAATAGTGCTTCGTCAATATTTAATACTTACCAAGACATAGCAATAATCATATATTTGTAGAACACACTGTATACTTTGTTATGAAAAATTACTTCGCCCTCCGTTCGTGTGTTCGTCAAGCATATTAATGCGTCCTGTCTGAAATTTGATCCCAGATTTTCACGATTGTCTGACCGTTAAATCAGAAAAACCACACGTATTCGAGAATAGATGATAGTAATATTATTGTCAATAGATGACAACTTTGAGATAAAAATCGTGATAAATAATAAGCAACTTTTTATCTAGATAAAAAAAAATCGATAGTTTTGTTCATTACCTATCATGAAACTTAAGTATTTAAAGCTGTGAACTTAATTTGATACAATTATAGATTTCTGAAAAAATTATTTTGTGATTGATATGTAACTTATTAATAATTATTAGTTAAAGAATACAACTATTAATTAATTGATTATTCCACCTATCGATTTAACAAAAGTATAAAAATTGTTTTATCTAGATATTATATTTATCGTTTATTTAGACAAGATAACAGATAAAACTATACCTATCTAGAAAAAAATACAACACTGATTATAAAACCTGCAGTGTTCGAATATTAGGAATACTGCGGCGAACAAAGTATATTATTATACATATAAGAACCTAAGCGGATTAATTTTCTTTTCTATACCGATATTTGGACCGTACAGAGAAAAAGTTCAAAGTGCGTGCAATATCCTATACCAATAAATATAATCGAACGATACGCGAGAGATGCGAAATATTCTATACACATAGTAGGCGTGCGTTTAAGAGTTTAAAGTTTTCAGATTCCGAGAAGTGTTTTGACGAGTTTTTCAGACTTATTATTATTATAGTATTTTCTTTTTATTTACGTTTTATAGGAAATGAGTATATACCTACAACTACGAACTTATACCAATGTAGTTTATAAGTTTGAATTATAATCTCTGCGGCAGTATATTATACATCTATATAATGCCGTTCGAAACGGATTTATGTATTCACCGGTCGTTAAAATATTATGAATATATTCGATTCCGAAATAATATGCTAGATTTCAATACATTTTTTAAAATGAAATAATTGTATTTTTTTAAATAAATATCTTGTGTTTCGTTTGAATTCACAGTAATATCATTATATTTAATATGCGTCCCGCTAACGTTGTTATTATTTTCAATTAATATTGTCATGTTCTCATATTTTATTTTGAATTCGAGGAAAAAGTTTAAAGTCCTGAGGGACTACGAATTCGGATTTTAATGGATAGAAAGTTTATTTTCTACCCGAAATTGTCACATTGTAACAAGATTAATGGTTTTACGCGTTAAATATATTATATTATTATATTCTTAAAACATCTGGAATTGTTTCGAGTTTATTGTGTCGGAAAAACTTTAATGGGAAATTATTCCCGAATAATCTCAATATTATTTCCATCGGTCCTCTGGGCTCGTATAGCTTTTATTTGAATTATTTTTGAAACGTGTATTTTACTAAATATTTCGGTAACAAGCGCGTATGCTTTACAGTGGATTTATATTCGGTTCTTGCAGTATACTGAGATACGAATATAGTAGTTCGTATCTGTCGTGTAAAAGCCGACTTAAATAGACCTAAGAGATGTTCGCCCATAGTAGTCCTAGTAGTCCTAATGCCAAGTGTAGAGACTCGAAGTTCATCCCTGTAAACTCGTGGACATCATTCCGCGTAATGCCAATAGGATTTTGATTGCGGCGCGCAAGTCGAACGAAGCCCACAGCGTTAATCTCCCTTATCAAAATATCATGTCAGCCATAAACCAATTTCCGAATGGAAGAAAAATAAAATACAAATATTTTTCGGTCAGAATGATAATAATATAACCGTTGATATCAAACATTATTTTCGTTTTGTTTTGTATCGATACAAAAATCTACCGACGTCATTATTGTTAGCGTTTTATTTTTTCAATTACATTGTAATTAGGTGAAATACGGTAGTATAGCTACCGTGTTATTATTGTTATTGTTACCGGAGCGTAAACAAAATATTATATAGTAAAAAGTTGTTCAAACACGGGTACATCATGCATTATAAACTACATTTTATAATATATATATATATATAGCACTGCAAGTATGATATATGATGTTCAACGAGGCACTTTTTTCCTTTCTTTTACTAAAACCGACCGTCTGCCGGGAAGTTAATTTATTTCGAACACGATTAGATATTTTACCTGCAGTCGACGCAAACTTTTCAGCTACTTCTGCGTAACACTGGTCGGCCGCCGTTTTGTCTTTATCGCCGAATCTCTTCATCGAGTTTTCCGGGCCGCAACACGACTTGAAATCAAAAAAAAAAAAAAAAAAAAAAAAAAAAATAAAAATAAAAATAAAAAATAAAGTGTACCTCCGGAGGAAAAGTTTTAATTTCGTTGCACAGACGATACACGGGCGCCGCGTTACACATATTAATAAGATAGTATTATTACACACACACACACACACACACACATATATATACAATATACCGTTGATATATCTGTATTATATATGATCTGATTAAAAACTATATGGTATTTGTTTATTTATTTATTTTTTTTTTTGCTCGCATGCGTGTTCGAAACATCCTGTTTGTCTATATAATATTATACGTGCGTATTTTTAGGTCAAAACATCTTATTAAATAATCGACGTTGCGCGAGTTGTTGCTAACCAGATTAGACGTACCGCTTTTGCTCTAACAAACTCGGGGCTTATACACACATTCGACCCCCATGCTCGAACGAATCTAAAACCGACGTTTTTGTACCGCCCGAACGGGTAAAAAAAAAATCGTACGCGCGTGGAATAATAATTTAATCGGGTAAATAAACGCATACGCACGCGCACACAAACCGCACACATGCACACTCACAACCACACACATACACGCATGCATATAATATACACATACACGTACGCGCACACATACACACACGTACGACACATACAATTTTGAAATACGATCCTATAAACTTAAGCGAGTAGCGACCGCATTTTCACGTGTCTTTTAACGTTGAATAATATTATTTCAATTCCGTATAAAATTATCGTGGGATTCATTAAAGGGATTCGAAACTGAACGGGGATATTCTCTTGTCTTTCTTTGTCCAACACGTACGCGGCACATGTAGTAATTTAGACCAATTCGTTGTCCGTTGATTCAGCGTAAAATGTAGACGAGATTAGCTAGCTAAGCCACTTTTTTTTCAATATTTTTTTTTATACATTTCCAAATCGATTTTTGGAAATTCAGAATACTGGAGTTAGGAAATAGATCTCACAGATTTCATGTAAACTTCATGCCGAAAGTGTTTCAGAATTTTTATCACTTCATTACTACATCGTAGACAAACAATTGGTATACTATAATATTATAATATATAATATAATGTAAATTTTAGATTTTCAAATGTCAAAATACGTCTATTATATCAGTTTGACAATTTTAGCATTTAATTTTTAAACAAACAGTATACGAATGGCAATAGTTTATTTAAACTGTCGTGGTGTTTTTAAAAATCATTTTTGAAAATACCATAATATAATTCTTAAAAAACGAGTATCAATAAAATCATATCCTTTTATATAGCCTTTAACATATCTATGTATACAGTGCTGAGTTGCATAAACGTTCAATAAACGTTTAATAAAATAATAGAAATCTAATAAATTATTATATGTTTTAATGATTCATTAAACGCTCATTTAGTGGTCCTCTAAAGAGTTTAAATTGAAGCTAATCGGTTCACTAATTATACGAATTACGAGATAAGAATTCGGATAAGTATTTTTTCAGAAGAATGTTTTCAAATTAACACGAACATTTAGTTAACATGTATGAAAAAAAAAATGATTTATGAAAATAATTTTGGGTATACTTAATGTTTTCAATGAAACAATAATAGTTGTGTTGTGTGTTGTATTGTATTAAGTGAGTAATGGTCGTAGATTGCACTCTTGAATCATTTTTTTTAATATAAGGCAACACAATGTGTCAATATAGTTTCCGAAAAATATAATGTATAACGGTCGTCTAAATTATAATGTTTGAAGTGTATGTATATTATAATATCACTGTATTTCTATTATATACACTAGTACCTATGAAACACGAATTTTTCTCTTGTGAGAGTTTCGAGTACCTATTCGATATCTGCCTAAAAGCCTGTTTTGATAAAAGTATTTTTAAAATGTATTCAAGCATCTGACAAAAGTATTTCTAAAGTATTTAAAAGACAATTATTCGAATAGGGCTGCTAACTGTTTTTATGTATAGTAACTATATAATAATATAGAAGTGTATTTGTACTGATGTGTAAAGATTTATCGAATGATATTATTTTCATTGGATTTGCCGTGTGACCGAATCGCTGGCATGTACGATAAAAAATAATAATTTGTGCGTGAACTCAAGACAAAAAATATAAATAATTAATAGTACCTAAATAAAATCGTTTTAGTTTATTATTTTATGTTTTAGATATTATTATCAAAATAGCAAGAATCTACCTGGCGGGAGCCCTAACTGTTGTCTGGAAAAAAAAAATTATGTAGATACAAACAAATTACATTGTTTTATAAAATGTAAGATTATTTGCTATTTGATTAATAATAATCGGTGATTAAAGTTTTTATTTTTATTTATTAATTTTTTAGATTCTACACAAAAATAGCTATCGCGTTTAACCTTTAAATAATTAAATGTATTTAAAAATAAAAACATTTACGTAAAAAAGTCGAATATTTTCATCGAATATTATGCTGTAAAATAAATTATATTTGATTTGATTATTACCATTTAATTATTTATGAGTAAACTGGGAAACAGTATCGATAGGTATACACACCTGAAATGTTTTTCAAAATCATTTCCATTTAAATGTATACTTATAGAAATATTTTTCAATTACGAATGGATAACAAATTTTTATTTTTTATTAAATTAATTTACCGAGTACAATTGGTTTTTTTTTCACCAATACATTAACCGCATACAAATTGCAGAGTAGCTCGTTCAAGAAAAATACGAATTACAGCTGCTTAATTTATCCGTTAAGTTTATTGACCCAATATAATATACACACCGTAGGTACTCGGCAAGTTAATTAAAACCGACTACTCAATCGAATATATTTCACCGAGTAGTTAAATCAATCAAAAGTTTTTACGCATTTTTTTTTGTGTTTCCTGTAGGTATTGTATAAATTAATTGAAAATTTGAAAATTAAAAAAAAAATTTCGACTCTTATTCAAAGTATTTATAAATGAATATTTCTGTACAGAAAACTTGTATTTTTTTTGTTTGTATTATAATAATAATTAATAAGAAGAAAATAATATTTAAATAATGACTATCGTTAAAATGTCAATCAAATATAGAAAAAAAAAAAAAAAATAATAAACGTTTTTAGAACCGCAGATAAAAAAAAATATTGAATCATATTATTATTATTATTTTTGTTTGATTGAAACGGAAATATTAATAATGAATAATTTGTTATCATCTCTCTCGGGCAATCTTATTTTATATTTTATGTGTGGAAAACCGTATTATTACGTTCTGGAGTAAATGTTAATGAGAACTCAATTGCGACGAGAAAATTAATACGTGTTTTTTCTCTCTTAGAGACCAAAAAAAAAAAAATAATAAAAATAAAACAACTCTTGAAATTAAATAACACGTTTTACTAGTTTACATTTGGTAAAATAGGTTGGACCGTATCTATTTGAAAAAAAAAAAAAAAAATATAGTGAAAACCGCAACAGCCAGAATAAGTAATTTGCTCGGTATAATACATATATATATATATTTATTTTTTTTTTTCATAAAGTTAATACACAGAATGTAACTGTAAAATTGTTGGCAATTTCCTAAGCAATTACACGTATAAGAATTAGCCGAAACTGCGGTATACTCTGTACATTGTGCAATGAGCATTTGCATTGGACTTAATGGTAATATTTTAATCCTATTGTTTTGAAAGTTAAAACATTTTTTTTTAAGACAAATCGTTTATCCTTATAAAATTGCGTTTTTAAACGCGCGGTTTCGATTCCATTGTTTTGAACTAAAATACCAATAGAAATTGTGTACAATAATAGAATTTATAATATTTAATTTCATAACTTAAATAGCTATATAACTGAATCGACGAAATTCTTTTGTGTTAATTAAAAAAAAAAAAAAAAAAAAATTGAAATGTGTTATAAACGATATATTTATTTTGTTCCATATGTAATATATATCCGTACTTTGAATATTTATATTTATTGTAAAAATAAAAAATTAAACTGTAATGCTGTTAAAAAAAAAAAAATAAAACAAAACATAACTATAAGAAAATTATATATTCCAGTCGGTCGAATAGTATACTACTAAGTTGTATTATATAGTATTACACGGATCACGTATAATCTCGTGGCGTTTCTAAACCTTTGAGCTTCAATTTGATCGTCCTGATATTTTTAAGTAGCAAACAAATTGTTTTGAAAATTAAAATGAGATAAAGATGAAAGGCAAAAAAAGCAAAAATTTGACCCTTCGCTGCATCGTGATTTTTATCCGATAATATGACAACACGAAATATAGTTTTATTCAAAATGTAAAATCCACCCTAGTGTATAATTGTAACGAATTTTTTTATTTCACTTAAAACTGTTTTAATATTTATACAAACAAATTTAAGAATATATAATATTTACTAGTGGTAAATTTTAGCTTTATTAAAAAAATATATTTTACTGTTGATGGTTGTGTTTTAGGAGGAAAGTTAGAAGAAAGCTGGATATACAGAGTAATTTAATTACGCCTATTTTCAGCGATACATCATCGTTAACGAAAAACGATCCTGAGCAGTTTTATTGGTCTTACGTTTTCCCCATTTGCTAAAGTAACCCCGAATTAATAAAAACCACACAACAAATTGTCAAATTTTTGCATTTATTAAGAAAACTACAAAAAAAAAAAATAAAAAAATAACCTTATCAATGTATCGTACTAGGTAGATTAAAAATTCTATAAGAAATTTCCAATGGTTTTTGATTAGAGTAAAATCGAAAAATTGTTTAGAGATACAAAAAAAAACACACCATACTAACGTGAAACATTGGATAAACATCTTGGGTTGTATACACGCACAAAAGTTCAGAATCGCTGCGATGTTTCAAACGGGTCTTTAAGATAACGGTATAATCTTACCTTGCATATCTGGTATAATTACACCTTTCTTTATTATTATAAACTAGGACGTTGGACTAAAAATTAATTATTTCCAAATACGTCCGATATGTTTCTATTTTGATACGAATGTATCGCGACGGTTTTTGTATGTATTATCGCGTCTATATTGATGTAGTAAAATCGTTTTTGTGGAAAGTTTCTTCTAGAATAACGTGTGTGTTATTTCGTGTATATGGAAAGATAAATAATAGTATCTGTTTACCTAGGTTCGTACGGTCAACTATTGTTTTTCTCCAAATATTATATTATTTGACGTGTATAATAATATTACGACAAACTTGAAAAACTTTTAGAAAAATATTTGATAGATTTGTGTCGGATAATATTATATTATTGCAAATACCGGATCGATACCAGATTACATTAGGTTAGAGTACCCGTAATAATATATGCTTTAATTTTTATACTAAAGCTGTTCGAATTCACGCCACACAAAAAGCAAGTGGCTATTTTTTCAGACTTTCCGTCGTGCACAAACATTAATATTAAAAAATCCAACACCGAATTTATTCGAACTAAAATATTTATGGAATTTATAATGTAGGTTAATGTAAGGTTATTATTTAAAAATCAAGTGGGTAGTAGTTTCACCTCAAAAAATAACGATAATGTAACAAAATAGTTCTATTTGTTTTATATGTTGTCCAAAAAAATATTATTGTATGTATATAAAAAAAAATGTTTTCTTTACATCCGTGAAATCTTGTGGCTCGTCTATAATAAAATCGTATAAGCGGTGGGTGCACATTTTTAATTTTATAATGCACACGAAAATAGCCACTGTTAATAAAAGTTGTTGAATTGCATATTATAGCAATATATAATATATATACAAATATTTGACCGTTTAAACCGCAGATGTCACTATATAATATATTAACGACGAGCTTTAGGTGTTGGGCGGATATTTAATAAAATTTCGTCAGAGTTTGTCAAACTGAGCTCACTACTACAGGTGATCCCGTGCAGTCTCCGCGGGCTCGTTTCAGTTAATCGAAATTTTTCGAAATACTAATCAGCGAAGATATCTACGTGGGTGAATAATTTGCTGCGTAACTTTATAGACATATACGTTCCACGTATTAATTTATATGATTAAAAAAACAGAAATAAAATGGAAATAATCGAAAAAATACATTTAAAGACCTTTTAATCGGTTCAAATAGTCGCTACAGGAAAACTAATTTAAGCTAAAAAAACTCCGATAATCCATTCTAAATTTTTCGGAAGAAACTTTTACTCTAACAAATTATACGAATTGGCTTTAAATATACGAATGAAAAATTCTGTTAAAAGATCACCCAGAAGAATTCCTTAAGTACAAAGTAGCAAGTTATTTTTCGTGAACAAATTCGCTTCTAAAAAAATTGTGTGAAATTGTCCCATATAACCGTGTACACACGACAATGAGATTTTTTTAAATCGCTTTTTAGTAGTCATTTTACGTATCGTTGCCAAATTCAATTAATACAAAAAGCAGACGAGTCAACCTAATTTTTCCTCTGTATAAAACTCACTATTATTTGCAAGATTATTTATTTTGGTTTACGTGATGATTACAATAAGAATAAATATCAAACTTGGGCGTCATAATACAAAAAAAAAAAAAATAAATAAATAAATAAGGTCCCTGTGAACTAGCAACAAAGGCTCTGTCTTGTGGCCGTGATTAAAAAATGCATACATTTTAATCATAATAATTTTATCCTTATACATTACATTTTGTCATATAGGATAATATGCGATTAATTTTCATATTTCATTGACAAATAGTGAGATTTTTAAACGCGATCGAGGAAATTAACGTTAACGGAAAACACGTAATTTCAAGGTTGTTTTTTTTTTTTTTTTTTTCGCTTTGTCCCTATCGAGAAACCCTGCGGGCCGTGCCACCGGCCTGCGCCCGATTACGTTATCGTGACTCGCGCGCCGTGTTTCGTCGTCGGGCGGCAACTCGGCGGCGTTGACGTCTTACCTTTCTGGTGGCCTGTTTGCACCGGAAGAAATCGCTGTCCTCGGTGTCCAACAGCTCTTTGCCCCGTCTCTGATGGTCGCCGGCTGTCAGAGGGGGCACACAAAATATACAAAACCATTAGGATATCATTGGTAAATCGTTATGTATGTATGTATGTATACAGGGTAGGTACTGCCGGCAAAGCGGACACTCACCGATCACCTGTTGCAGGACGAGCGCCACGACTATGCACTTGAATACCGCCGCGGACATGGTGATGCTGTTTTCCACGGGCCGCCGACAACAACAACAACAACAACAACAATTGATGATATTATACTGACAGCGTATCGGACGAGTGATGTTCGTCTCCGGCTGGCGTCTGCGGAACGAGTACCGGTCTCACGCGTGGACACACTGAACGATGCCGCCGCGACAAAACCCGTCGCCGCTGATCCGCACGTTCCGACTCCCACCACCCCGGCCCATGGGACTTCCCCCCAGCCGCCGCCTACGTCCGCCTCCCCTACTCGTCGACGACGCCGCGGCCGTCGCTCTTGACCCGATCGCCGCGACTCGTGAGCCGCCACCGTTTAATTTCCCTGCGCCCTTCGCCCGCCGCCGCCGCCGCCGCCGCGATGATGACCGCTCGTTTCCTCGTTTCCTCGGGTCAACGACTGCGCACACCGCGGGAACCGGTAGCCCGAGTGTGCAGTGCGCGGGTGCTCTCGTTTCGGTCGGCCGGTTTTCGCGAGGGGGCAAGATTCGAGAGGTACGAAGAAAAACAAACGGATTAATAATTATTTATTCGGGTAGGGGTAGGGGAAGAGGAGGACGGCGGGGACGACCTATATTATATTAATATTCAATAAACAACAACATTAATAATAATAATAATAATAACAACAATAATAATATTTGCCGCTGCAGCCGCGGGCGAAAGTATACGGACGCGCGACAAAACGTCGTAAGGCGCGTGTTACGTACGATAAATCGGTAACCGGTCAACCGCGGTATCGGTAATATTATTACTATCGAAACGTCGTGGTGCGACCCGGAACACGGCGTTTACGACGACAACGCCGATGACGATAATTACAATGGGAAACGGAACGCACGTAAAAGTTGCATAGGAAATAGGACGCGGGGGCATTGGCCGGGCGGAGAAACGAAACAAAAATCAAACGCTCACTCGACATTTTTATTTTGTTTGTAGTTTGAAGAAACGTGGCCGCGCCGTGCGTGAGAATTCGACAAAATATGATATTGAACTAAAGTCAAACCCGCACTACTCACGAAATCCCGACACGACGTTGCCCGTCGGACGTTTAAAAATCGTTCGGCAATATTCACTGAAAAAATTAAAACATCTCCAAAACCTTTTGAAGTTTAACGACACCGTTCGGGACACAACTTTGTTCTTAAAATTTCCAAAAGTTTGTTGGAAAAAAAAATAAAATGTTTTCGATCCTGTCAAAATACACAGTTTCTGTTTTGTTTTAATTTTGTTGTCTTTGATGTGAACTCGTCATAACCCGGAATAAGCGCGCGATCGTCTGAGCCGTAAACGATATAGAGGGACGAGAAATCATACTTTTAAGTTTGGAAACGAGGAGAGTAGTGTTGTGCCGTTTGTGTTGCGGTACAGGGCTCGGCGTTTGAATAACTCTCCGCTACTCTCCTCTTAAACTAAGTTTAAAATACCGTCAAAGTGTTGACGGAAATCAAAAACGCCAACACCAAAATGTATTTTAACTAATATTCCGTCTGTTTATGCAATTTTCAATGTAGATTACTATTTGAAAATCGAAAAAATAGGCAACCGTTTCAACTCTAAAAATAAGGACAATGTAACATTTTAAAATACATGACTATAAACATTTTTTAAATAAGTAATTTATTAAAAATAGAAGTAATTCGTGAACATTTTTAGTGCAACACGAAATTGTAAAGACTCTGTATATTATTATATCGATATTGTGTTCGCCGCCATTAACTTCGCCTTAATGCGGAGGGGTGTTTTACGGTTACGCTACACCAGTAATCACATAATTGCATCCCCTCGTCGCCATCGTTTTGCTAAAAGCAGCCATACACGATACGGTTTGCCGGATGGTTTACGTCTGGTCAGCGTAGCCTTCAGGTTAAACTGATTGTGTATGGTTAATAAAGTAGCAAGGTTAGGGTGTCTGTGAATTTGCTCCCCATATGGTCCCAATTATTTCATTTTGGTATATAAATGTTGTAATTAAATTTGTATTCCATAATTTTGTTTTACCTATTATATTTGTTCATTCTTGCGATATATATTCAGCTAAATCAAAATTTAAAACTTAACTGAGCTATTCGATGTCTAAAACATGCATATTAGTTTGAAGACTGTAAGATCATTTACTTAAACTCCACAATAAATAAGTATTTTGACTTTTAAGGGTCCCACAATGAATTGCACATATTTTGTTCGTGAGATATGCAACTTATTGCATACTAATAATACACAATTTAGATACCGAAATTAAGTGTGCGGAAATGTGAAGAGGCGGCCAACTTCACGTACATAAGGATAGGCCTGAACCCTCGTCTTCAAAAAATGGCTTGATTTTTTTTTCGCAGGTTTCTTGCATGTTTCGACAAAATGTGTATTATGTGGTAAAATGAGGGTAAAACTGAGCTAAATCCGAGCCGTTAACATGAACGTGTATGATAGACTGGACTATTGGAGGGTTCAGGTGTAACTTCCGGTTTACATTTTAGAGGCTTACTTTCCGGCAAACCATATTGTGTGTGGTTACATAACATTTTAGAATTTAAATAATAATAATAATAACAATATTTATTACGGAAATGACTCTATTTAGAAATAATAAAACTTTATACAGTTTAAACTGTATAACATATAACTACCAGAATTCAAAAATAATTTTTTGAAATTATCAAGTTTCAAATTTGGATTTTCTAAGAAAAAAAACAGTTTTAACTTATCAATATTACCACGATTGAAAAAAAAAAAACAATATGAGTCGTATTACCTGTCGTCATTAAAACATTAATAGAAGAAAATATCAGTACTTTTCTTATTTATATTTTTTATGTAGAACAAACTTTTAGTTCGTATATCGAATATTGACACACTTTAAAGTATAAGCACTTGAAATGAAATGGACAACCGTTAGTGTTTAAATAAATATATTCAATTGTGAGCGTTTCTTAGAACATCTTGTACAATAATAATACTGAAAAAACCCCGAAACTTCATTATAATTCAAGCGGTATACTAGTTCAACGTGTCATTTAAAGGATAAGTATTTATCTTAAACATTTTTTTTTGAATTCACTCTTTTCGTCGTTTTGTTATTACTGCTGTGTTCATTGACAATTTCCGATAAACTACTCGACAAGTTTTTGCCGTCACATCTCGAGAAAAATGAGTACCTAACTTTTTGTTGATTTCTGAGTTACCTTGTCAGAGCGGGGAAAGTATGATTAATAATACTCTTTCCAGAATCGCTCTTTGTTAGCAATATTAAATTTTATCGTTGCGTACAGATATAAATTAAATTACTCTATATATTATACCTTCTCATTCAAATCACATTCAAAAATAGTGACAAATCCATCAACAGTATCAGACTTTTTTTTTTTTTTAAATTAGAGCCCCCAGAATTTAGTCGGAATCCATCACCTCATACCCGTGTCACTAATTTGATTTCAAGAAATATTATCCCTGCTGTATTGAGTCGAGTAATTTCGATGAAGCATGCAGGTCCCTCATAATGACTGTTATATTATCGTAACAGTTGATATCACAATAGTTAACTATTCAAAGGGATCGCGTTCACGTGATGATAGTAAAATACGTGATAGCAGAATGAATTTATGTACACACGTCTGTGAGAGTATTTACCTAGAAAGTATGCGTCCAAACTGTGGAGATATTTACAATAATTCCCGAGATAGTATAAATGTCAACTGTCGTGCATACAATAGTTACTATTACGGTAATAGAAGTGAATTTTTCGATAGCAACCGTTAACATGACGGGATTTAGACTTCAAAATACGCCAAAAACTATAATACATTGTGATTCATATTGTTATATTTATTAAACTATATTTTATTTGGAAGTTTTGCTTCCGACGTCGTATTGTTGTCATCGATGTTGGATTTCTTATTTGATGCAATCTAATGGTTTAATATACGCGCTAGAATTATTATCATAGTATATGTGGTAAACGTCTAGATAGAATATTTTTGTGAGTTTAAATATATAGAGCGATCAATACTCAAAGAGACATTCATTATCTCGCAAATTATTTGATTTTTTCGAAGTGATTTTTTTTTTTTTTTTTAAATTTAAGAAACATGCGGTTCTAAAAATTTAAAACTTGAAAATCAACAGTTCGTTGTGGTTTTACTTCAGAAAATAAGTATGACAAAAATGAACGGTAACGTATAGCATTTCAAAAAGCTGTTTGTTTCGAGTGTCTTATCGAGTAACAATCACCCTGTATAGATTAATAATATTATTTCACGAGCAAACAATAGTAGTAGTTTATAATTATAGTAATATTATACTTTACGACCGGTTCTATGGAATTAATATAGAGAAAATAACCGAACAGACGACTAGCACAAATTATTATTAATATATGCATCGTTCATTATACATACCTAATAGCCACGTATAAATATCGTACTGTTTTTATAGTTTGAATCATATTAAATCCAAACTCATTCGTATTATTATTTTATTGTAACCTATATAGTTAGAGTCTATATTTCCGAACGAATTAGTTTTCGATTAAAGGCCAACGGACAAATCCACGCGGTACCTGTCCGTGTTCAAATCACCAGTTAAATTATAGATAAAAAAAAAAAAAAAAAATGGTTGACCCGTGAATTTTCCGACTATATTAAAATTTGGGATCAAAATTTCCGAAAAGACGTATTTCCAGAAAAATTGAGAAACTAGTTTTCATTTAAAATTTCTCGAAAAATAGATTTTTCCCGAATAATCGAAAAAGTAATGGAAAATATTTAATGAACAATGATAATTTATTGTACATCAGTATACTATCATTTATCACTTTAGTTCTGAATCTTGCTGTTTTTACACTTGGGTCATAATTTATTATTAATAAATGTATGCAATTTACATTTCATAAATATGTTATGTAAATAAATATAACAATATGAATTTGAAATGATTATGTCTCCAAAAAGTAAAGTTTGTGGAGGAGACACAGGGTTTTATACTTAAATATACACCAATTTATAACTAAACTTGTTAAATTTTTCAATTTTTTCAATTGGGGTGCTAGGTATCTCTTTCTGTAATTTTTCTGGACATTTTCTGATATTTGATACCTAATTAAAATATTATGTGAATGTACATAATAAATGGTTATTTGAAATCGTACCTAT